ATCTCTTGAGTATTAGTCTTGTATGAAGATAATTTTCAGTTGCTTCTTTAGGTTTCTTATTAATGGGTAGTATCCACATCACAAATTTTCATATTTTTCTTATTGCTGACATAGTGTTTTGTCACACACTAGATTTAATTTTTCCAACATTCAACATTTACCAATAGTCGCGTTTTTTTTTTGTGATTTTCTGGTGTAGTAGGAAGGAATAAAATGACAAACAATGAAGAATGACAACCGTGACAATCACATACGATCAAAATTACATAATACTCATCAATAAAAAACATCAAAGTTTAGATTACATAAATTTTTAGATCTCTGGATTGGATCAATTGGATTGATGATATACATATTGAATAATAATCTTGGTACGTGTTCTGTGGGGAATGTAAGTGGGTGTATGTCTGCTATGATTAATCAACAATCATTTCCTAGAAATTGGTGTTATTCGATATTATCAAATTTTGAGAGTACCTATTAATGACGAATATTGAAGTGAATCACGCAGTGAGCACCATATTAAATATGGAAATGGAAAGTGCACTGAAACTTTCATTTGTAAGTGAAATCATGGATTCGTAAGATGACATAATTACATCCAAAATGATAAATGTTTCATACTGACCTTTTTCAGAATGTGTAATGAAGAAGTACCAAAAAGTGAACATTTTCAACAGATGAAAAATTATTAGAGTTTTTTTTGTAGTAGTGTTTACATATCAGTATACATTTATTGATTTGTCAATTTTTCAGCTACATATATTAAATAATTAGCTACTATAAATGAATACTTCGTATTCGGTCCTATATAAATGAGTAGTATTTGATTAATGCACCAAAATACTTGACTATTTTGAAAGTGAAATTTGACTTGACTTGCCATGAAAAACTGGAAATTATCTGAATACATGACTAATATTCAAGATAAGATGAGATAACCGCAACGCATTTGTTTCAAATATTGAAAAATATACAGGGTGTTCCATGAAAAAACATAACTTTATGTTTTATCGTTATATCTGAATAATGACAGCTCATTTCAAAAATCTGACGATGCCACTGAATTCTCAGAAACAAGAGGTCTCAAAATACGACATTTTCGTCTGTCTCAGAAACGAAGCGGGCTATGAAAACTTTCACAAAAAAGTTGCCAACGTTCGCGAAAAACGCAAATCTTTATCTACAGGTTCTACAGGTTCAACCACCCTCGTATTTTGAAGTAGAGTGAATGATTCAAATAATTCTCTTCTTGAAATGAAAATTGAATAAAAAAAATCATGATAAGTATTATATCAGGCTTCATTTTATCATGTCTTAGTGGGCCACATCGGACACTTGGAAGGGAAAACGAGGAGTCTTAGTCTTCATATTGAAATATTTGATATTTTATGGGAAGGGACGGTAAGATCGAGTTTGATAATGTGCCTGAAAGAATTTCTAATGCCAGCAGTTGCTACAGCACAATTATCACGTGAAAAACTTTCACAGAGGAAGTAATTTTGGCTTATTTGTCAAAAAAATCTCAGAAATTGTTGAATCTTTTACCTTGTGGAGCATGCATACTGAAGATTTCAGTCATAAAGTGAAGAAGAATGTGAACATGGCCATGTTCCCAATACATAAACTAAAATGATTCAGAGACCTTACCTGACTCCAACAGCAAAGATGAGATTGTTCCTAATTGTGTTCTATAACTCAATATTACAGAGACATTTGTCATGTTTATTGCCAAAGAAGTATTGAACGCAAGATGGCTGGAGAATGTTTTTTGAACTCGCATAATTCCAGGACTCCCTATGCTTCGTTATGGAATCTTGTCAGTATTTTGTGGACTTGTTACGTGAATTACTAAATGTTTTCATGCAAATATTTCCAAAGATTGTCACAAGAATTAATCCTCCTAATTTTGAAAATAGAACTTTCCTGTAGAAATGACTAGTTCTCTATTCTTGAAGTAGATGAAGGAAGGAGGAATTCAGTGTCTGAAGATCAATTTTTATGAACTAAATGCTTCTGGAAATGTGTTCAAGAAAACAAAAAAATTGCCAAACAAATTAGTATGAGTCACTTTTTTTAAGAATGTACATTTTCAAAAAACATCTGTAGACCTTAAACGTAGATAAATATCTATTTGAGGTTTGCACTATTGAGTTTTTCATGAGAATTGAAATAAGTATGAGAACAGGACTCTACTCACTTTCCCCATAAGAGTGTCCAATTTGGACCACACTGTACATGATATTTTGCTCAGAGTAATAAGTTGAATAGAGTGGTTTATTTTGATTATTCCTTATGCGGAAAAAGCATCACATTCTAAGGACATCTGTGGAACCTTTGCCAAAGCGATAATTCGAAAGGATTTTTCTGATGAAACATCTTATTCAATTCGCCATAAATAGCTTATGACAAAAAATGGAACATCCTTCAAAACATAATGATACACAAATGACAACATAATTTTCAGAAAATTACCATACTTAGAATTATCATAGACTTATTTGATATTGTAAGGTACACATATAACAAAATGAAAAATATAAATTATTTAAACATAAACGTGAAAATACCACAAAGTTTCGTAGTAGACAAGCGATAATCATAGTGAAAAATTTCATTTAGTGTGTTTGTTGTTATTGATGGTTTTCTGGCTGTTGTGTGATCAGTTTTCGGTGTTTAGTAACCCATTTGATATGAAAAATGCAGAGCAGACAATATTGTGGATAAATGTGGCTCCGCAAAGTCAAATATGTAGAGAAAAGTTAGTTACTAAGATCCTAACATGATATTTCACAGGTATGTAGATATTCGGTACAGTGGCGGTATTGTGTGAGGTCTTGCTTTTGTTGATGAAAGGCATGTTCAAAATATTGAAACTATCAAATGACCTCACAAAAACGTTACAAAATGACGTTATCATCATGGTACAACACATAAGAGTTAATTTATTGACACATATTTATAGAAATTCCGATTTATTAATTATATGAAATATATCAATCAATCAATCAATCAATCAATCAAAATCATTTGATTCATTTATCCATTTTTGGCGTTAAGGTTTGTTGGCGTACCTTCTGATTATTTATGAATGAATCGCGGTGTCTTTCTATTTAGTCTAATATATTTTGATGGAACTCCATATACAGATATTTGAGACTTGAGCAAGAGGATTGTGGTTTCCATTTTAGAAATACTCAATTTTATTGCCTAGTACAGTAACATGATAAAGAAATGATGAATTGAATTCAATTAGGTCATTTTGAGTAGTACATTCTGAAGAAAAAAAAATTTAAAAAATTGAATCTGTCACTCACTCCAAATTTAGAAGGTAACACTTGAAGCAGGATAACGGCTGTTCCAGAGCTTTTAGGCCAGAAGATAACTGGGATATCTAACATTCAAAAATTTTTGAAAAATTGTGGAATTTATGGGAGCAGAAGCTCTTCAAAATGATGAGATCAAATCACCTTTATGTCAAACAACTTACTAGAAATCACCCCTTACTTTGGCGATTCAAATTGCACCCCCATGTTTTTTTCGGTTCATATTATAGCAACTCCTCATTCTCAATTCGACTATACATCACGATCGATATAGAGGTATGTCAAAACAAAAAAAAAATGAATAATTTTGCAGGCCTCTACACTGATCAGTTATTCCTTGAATAGACAGAGCTACACAAGAAGTCTGAATAGACGATATAAGGTAAGTGCAGCAAGCAATAACTGTCATTTCAAACAATCATTCAAGGAACAATTGATATTTTTTCATGAGAACTTATTGAAATTACTCGCCGAGGATGAATCTCTTGCTAAATATCTAGTCCTATATAATACTGAATTGAGAATAAAAAGTTCTATTAGATGAACGAAAAAAAAAACATGGGGGTGCAGTTTAAAAAACCAAAGTTGAATGTGGTTTCAAGTAGATTGTTTGACATGAGGGTGATTTGATTTCATTATCTTGAAGAGCGTTTGCTCCTATATATTCCACAATTTTTTTAAATTTGTGTATACAGGGTGTCCGGAAAGGTCATGTTGTGAATGATGGGGCTGATAGAGGGAACCAAAATAATGTTACTTTACTTGTACTTCATATAAAAAAATAGCCATCGCACTTCGTTATGGAGTTATTAATCTTGGAAATCTGAATAAAAATTTATCAAATGTATAACTTCTAAACGGTTGCCATGGTATCAATGATATTCAGGCAACTAAATGAACTCATACTCATGCTCTTTTGATATATGAATCGCTATTCAGCGATTATGTTTTATACAGGATGGGACGAACTTTTCCGTTTGATAGAGGCATTTTTGATGGAGGTGATAAATTTGACATTTAGCTATCTCAAATCAATTTCTTCAACTTTTTTCTACAATAATGCTATACTTTATTTCAATCGGTATCTTGAACCGTTAAAAATAAAATCGCATTTTAAGAACATTCATCCCAACCGTTTTCATTCAATAACGTCATTGTAGTTGCAGTCATGGTCAAAATTTACAACAAATTATTTTGACAGTATTAAATTATTAGTAACACCATAAATGAGTTTAGTAATGATGAGTATGGCTTATGTATGAACTTGCAGAAACTTACAAGGTCAATAACTCCGTAACGAAGTGCCATATATTTTTTTTTTTTATGAAGTACTAACATTATTTTGGGCCACTCTATCAGCCCTCTATCATTTGCGATATGACCTTTTTGTATTTTAGATAACCCATATCTGCTGGCCTAAGAGCTCTGGGACACCCGGTATATATAATTTTGAGATTACGAAAAATAGTTATACAAATGTTTCAAAATATTTCAGCTGAACATTTTAGTGAAAAAATTCCAACCTATATTCTCAGGTATCTAACTCTCTCATTCTATCATGGAAATGCCTTCATAGAAGATCCATAGTGTCCATTTCATTGTCAGTCCTCAGTTAATTCACCATACATTTTATAGACCTACCTTGAGATCTATATGAAACCACATCAAACTCAATCATGCTGGTATGCTGTAACATTCAGACCAAGCTTTGGCATTAACTTGTTTGAGGATGGCCCTTAATGATGTGCCAGGTCCAACTTCAAATACCCTTGGGTAATGGGAATCAGAATCTCTTTCAAATACTGTATGCATGAGTTGCTCCCATTTCACTGGCTTTATCATCTAAAACATGAGTTTTCATATATTAAGAGCCATGAATTTTTAAAAAACTCAACAGTGAAAGCGAGAGTTTTTTGTTTCAGTTCAATCAATCTGAACATCCATATATGCAAAAGGTCGGGTAGCTCAGATTTTTTGATATGTTGTATCTATAGAGGTTTTGTTAAAGAGCCTAAGTTTTCAATCTCGCCAAAGACATTTTTGACCTGGTCTAGGTTTCAATGAAAGACTGGTTTAACGAGACACATGATTCAATTTCCTGAGGATGATACTTTTTGAGTTACAGCCATTCAGAATGATGGTATTGTCAGATTTTCTTCAACTCAGAATGCTGCACAACTTTACTCTCTGAGCACTTACCACCAGGTAATGTACATTACTAATCATCTTATCAACTCATAACTCATTATAATTATATATTCTGCAGTATTTTTTCACTCTTCTTCATTCATCAATTTATTATTATATGTATTGCATTATAGTATTTTTAGGTACAGAAATGGTAAGAAGTAGAGAAAACTATTGTGGAATGGGGTTGGGTGCAGTCAGCTTGTAGTCTAAGCCCAAAGAATGAAACGCTCAAAAATTCAATTCGTGCACCTGTGAGAAAGGGTGCAGCACTTCCTGTGGATCCCTAAGAGCAGGATCACAATGTCAGGCAATATGTTCATTTTATTATGGTGAGTCGTTTGACAAAATATCGAAAATAGATGTAGAGTACATTTTCCTCGAATTTGAAACATTATGCGAGATGGATGATGCAGAGCATGTTTGCGTCACTCCCCACTACAACTTTACCATTTAAGGAAGAAAAAGGTAGTAGTTCAGGAGAACTCATCTCATCTACAGCCCCTTCAAAGAGATGCGGGATTTAAAATATCAATAACTTCATGTAACATTTTTTATTTCCTCAATTATTGTCAAATCTTTTATATGATTTATATAAAATTTGAAGTTATTTAATGTAATTCATAGTTTTCACATTTCATATCATTTATTTGTTGCAAGTGTATCCTGAATTCGAACAAATTGAAGCTCTTTTCCCTATCTTCAAAATCAGATACAATCTAACTTTACTGAAAAACCATTATTTCACAGTGAGAAGCTGAAAACTAAATATTTTTTGAAATTCTGAAAATTTACTCGAATTTCAAATGGCTTTGACTCAAAAAGTATTATCCTCAGGAACACGATTCTTATTTTGAATTGTGGAAGATTCACTGTTCTTCAAAAGAGGGCTGAATCATTTTTATGGTTAGAACAGTCCTTTATGCTGAAACTTTGGAAAAATTAGAACAAGGTGAAGAATGCCGTCGATTATCGACGTTGGCAGTACTAGTCGACCTTATGCATCTATGCCCTCCTGTCTGGGTTACAGTTCGACTGGATTATAGACAATACATTTTTCCCAATAAGCAATTTCCACAAAAAAAATCATCAGCTGATAAGAAAATTCCAATTATTTGTGACAGAAAAGTTCCAGTGCTTTTTGGCAAAATATTCATATTAATGACGAATATATTATGAATTATTACGGCAAAAATATAATCATACCTTGACTTCATAAAAATTACTTACATGTTTCGGTAGTTGTCTTCTAATATGTTCAGCATTTCGATATTTTTTTCCATCAACATTGGAGTAAACACTTATTACAGGATCTAAAATTTCAGATTTGTGAAGGGCTTTTCTGAAAGTCTCCATTGCTGGCCTCATCAGTTCAGTATGGAATGGTCCACTGACAGGTAATCTTATTATTTTACGAATATTGAACTGTTGGTAGTTCTTTTCGAAAAATTCTAGTGCCTAAAAAATTATATTCATCTTGTAATACTGTTCAGTAATGGAACAAAAATAGGGGAAATAATCAGTGTAGTAGCTAATATTTGTAGAGTGGTAGAACAATATACTGAAAGTACTGACCCGTGGGGAATGAGCAGTGGAAAGTTGGGAGGTAATTATTTCACGTAGTTCTTCAATAATTCCAAAATATCGGCCTCTAGCGAAAAAGTATAGATATACAAAATTGGAAATCATAAAATTTCCTATACAAAAGTGTCCATTCGTTTTTCGTCTACAATTGATAATGATAAAATCAGATGAAAAAATCGAGATCTTTAAAAAATAGAGTTTATTGCAATAGAATTCATCTTCTACTAAGGTATAGGGGCGACTATAATGATCGAGATAATTAATCTCCATATAAATATACAAGTTGGTTACAATTTTTTTTCCGTCGACTATACCGGGTGGCTACGGAAGTATTGCCTACGGAATATCTCAGTTATTATATGAAGTAGGTAGGTAATTACATGAGAGCTAGAATTTGAGCATATTGACATGTCGGAGTTAACTTCCGGTCTGACCGGAAGTAACATCAACTTTTTTATTTTAAAAGGAAACCCTATTTTTTTTTCTTTTCGCTTTATTCAGCATTCAATTCCCTTTCTAATGACATATCACAAGTTGGTATCTAACCAGAAACTAGATCAGAAAAAAAATATTATTGAAATTCACCGAGTAGGCCGTGGAAGCAAAATGAAAGCCAAAAAATGACTTTCTATTATATCATTAGGAAGGAATGGTTATGATGAATAGTACAGGCAAGAAGAAGTTGTATGTTCCTATTTAAGTTATGGACCTACAGAGTATTGTTTTTTTACCAATTTTTCCAACATTTTTTTGGCGGCTTTTTATAACGCCGACGAATGAAAATAAAATATCACAGTAGTAGCAACTGTTATCAAGTGACGTATGGTTTCCATAGCCAACTTTTCAATTTTTGGCTTTCATTTTGCTTCCTCGGTGAATTTCAATAATAATTTTATTCTGATCTAGTTTCTGGTTAGATACCAACTTGTGATATGTCATTAGAAAGGGAATTGAATGCTGAATAAAGCGAAAACAAAAAAAATAGGGTTTCCATCTAAAATAAGAAAGTTGATGTTACTTCCGGTCAGACCGGAAGTTAACTTCGACATGTCAATATGCTCAAATTCTAGCTCTTATGTCATTAAATCGACGCTTCAAATTTCATGAACCTACTTCATACAATAACTGAGATATTCCGTAGGCAATACTTCCGTAGCCACCCGGTATAGTCCTCCTGCAATGAATACAATTTGATTATGAATTCATTATTCATCCGAAAACTATCAATCGCCCAGCCAGCCATGAAAGTCAACTCGTCACTGACATTAGTGACATTTGTCGAAATAATATATATGAAAAATAAATTCCTTTTGTGTCGAAAAACTGTAATCAATATCGGTTAAGAAACGTTAAAGAGCTCAGTAACGTAAAATCTTCGATAAAATCAATATTTTCCAAACGTAGCGGAGTATGTTTGGTTGCCTATACCATAATCGTTCTTCAATAGATAAATTTCGTGTACATTAATCAAACTTGTTGATACGAAGTAGACGAAAAAAAAACATTATTCATTCAAAACAAACATCTTGCATGTGGACATTTCAATTATTAATAATTATATTATATTATAATTAAACGAGATCTCGTAATGATTTTCATCTAAACAGAATGCTTACCAGTAGGGGTATGAACTCAATGTTTTATAAAGGACTGAAAGAATATAATTCTCTTCCTCAAAGCATAAAAGAATGTGAGACTGTTAGAAACTTTAAAAAATGTATTAAGGAGTACCTGAGACAAAGAGACTTGCCATGATTATTTTTATTTTTCTATATTATTTAATCAAGAAACTGTTAGTGTTATGCTGTGTATTGTTATGTTGTTTGGAATTGTAAATATTAGGATGTATCCTATATTGAATAAATTCTATATATATTCTATATATTATCATCTTAATGATCATCATTTTCTATTCCGAGTAACGGTGCACCATTCGTACACGTACCATGGCACATGTCGCACACCATAGAGCAAGGAATGGGGTTGTACACACTAATCGAATTTACGCCACATACCTACCTATTTTATATTGGTCATTTCGTGTATAAATAGTATATTATGCAATCATTCGAAATTTAAAATCATCACAAATATATTTTTTCAATAGTTAAAATGGGCACCTTCGGAAAATGCCAACTCTCGATAACGTCATGCACCTTCTGGTAGTCATGGTTATCTGAATTCTTGCTCTTGCATGAATAGTGATTATTCATTCCTCTTCATTACTCCACAACATTTTATCCCCAGAAGGTATGCTGGATTTCCTTCTTTAAAAATATCATACTATCAGGGGACTATTCCAGCCATCTATTCGAATTGGAAATCAAAATCCAACACAGGTTTCCATGAGAATTCCTGTTCAATAATGATGAAAACTCAACAGCTTATGTATGTTGGTATATATGAATTTCAACTGGAGGTAGGTAGGTTACCAAATGTTCAATCGAAACAAATTAGAACCATTGGAAAATACAAAGTTCGAAAATACACAAATAACAAAGCTGAATGTCAAAACGAAATATACATAAACACCATTAACAAATAATGGCGCTACGATCTTAATCTCAGTCGCCTATTGCTGATGGAAATACAGAGCATAGATATAGTGAACTTTGTGGGAATGGTGGTACCAGACATTGATACATCAGGCATACCGAGTCACGCCTTTCTAGAGATAGAGGTGGATCCAAGGAGGGGTAAATAGGGGTAACTACCCCTCCCCCAGCTTCAACGGAATATTGATAATCACCATTTGTATTGTTTCATATATCTATTGGAAATATATTAATATCTCACTTTTTATATTCATACCCCCTCCCTAACTATTATCGTAGTAGTCAGTAACTTAGTAACCATCACATTGACTTAACATTATGAGGGGAGCAATTAGAAAAAAATTAATCAAAAACCTCAAAAAGTCAAAACCAATCAATTCTTCACGTTCATTTTCCCAAAAAAAAATTGGATGAAATGACAGAAAAAAAAGGCTATAAAACATTGATTTACATATCTTACGTGAGAAACAATTCGGAAAAACGATTAAAAACCCTAAGAAATCAAAACCAACCAACTTTTCACCTTGATTGTATCACAGCAGATAGGTTAAAATTAAAGAAGGATACAGCTATATACACATTGTCTTATACATACCTTAGGAGGGAAGCAGCAGGAAATATATGATTAAGATCAAAGTCAATCAATTCTTCACCTCCATTTTTTCACAGAAAATAAATTCGAATAGGAGAAAAACATGAATATACATATACACATTGACTGACATACCTTAATAGAAGGGAAGCCAATGGGAAAATGTGATTCAAAGATTCCCACAAAGAAGATTTTTTTTATCTCTAGGTTGATATAAGAGAAAAGGAATGATTCTATAAATCTATCTATCTATCAATCAATCAATCAATCAATCAATCAATCAATCAATCAATCAATCAATCAATCAATCACTCAATCAATCAATCAATCAATGAAGCAATCTATCTATATTTTTATTTATCTAACAAGGGGAAGCTTTCGTGACTGTTCTATAATAATATTCTTGGAAATATTAGTGGGATGCAGTCTGGACCAATGAATTAATTAGATTTCTTCGTTATTTGTCGAGCTTTCGAAAATTTTTATTTTCTTTATCAAGACTAACTGAAAACATCGAATGGAACAATAATATTAGAATATAAATGTACATCAAATGAAATTGGTATACTTACAAACATGAAATTCTATATAAAATTAGCACAAAAAGGAAACATAGGTGTATAAATAAAAATGAGTCAACCATCATCTATGACATTTTTTTGTCAAATCATTTCATTTTTATTTATACACCTATGTTTCCTTTTTGTGCTAATTTTATATAGAATTTCATGTTTGTAAGTATACCAATTTCATTTGATGTACATTTATATTCTAATATTATTGTTCCATTCGATGTTTTCAGTTAGTCTTGATAAAGAAAATAAAAAATTTCGAAAGCTCGACAAATAACGAAGAAATCTAATTAATTCATTGGTCCAGACTGCATCCCACTAATATTTCCAAGAATATTTTTATTTATCTATCTATCTATCTATCTATCTATCTATCTATCTATCTATCTATCAAGGGTGACTTTTTTCTATGAAAAATTGCTGACTTGCTCGATAAGCACTCCCCTGGAAATTCTGGATCCAATCTAATTGGTCTAGCAAATGTATAATGATTGTGTTGATGAAACAGGAACATTTCGTTCAAATCGGCTTAGGCATTTTCAAGATATAGATAAAAAACTCTTTTTTTTTAACTTGCACACTCTGTATCTCGGAAATGAATCATTTTCGGACCCACACATGTTCATATGAACTTTATTTTATATTTTGTTGAGAGGAATCCCTTCAAAGCTTTTGTTACCAAAACTCTGAAATTTTATATAATAAATAATATACCATGAATTAAAAAGAAAGTGAAAAACAACAATGAACTATGGATACATAACTTCAATAAATTCGCAGCTATCAGCATGGTTAGGTGTAAAACTGGTTTTGGGCGCGGTTGCCAGGTATAATTTACAAATTTCTGTAACATGGTGGAACCACTTTAGGTTCAGTAATTTATTGAGTCAAAAGGAAATTGATGAAATGAATATCAATGAAACAATTAGAATATAATGATAATAAAGGAAAATATCCATGATGAATAAATTGAGACATGAAAAAAAGAAATCAGTCTTCATTAAAATGGCACAGATAAACGTTTGAAACAAATTAAAACAAATTGGAAATATAAAAACAATACTCACCGATTCACTACCAGCAATAACTTTACAATGTGGATATACATAAGTTGCTACTTTACATTCTGGTAGAGGGTCGCCTTTATCTACCGCCCATTCTTTAGCTTTTAGACAAGCGTAGTTCACCTTGCTGTCTGGCTGATAAAGCACAGTGAGCATTCCACCTTTGTAGGCCTCACTAGCCAACTGCATCGCTTCGCCTCTGATCCTGACAAGCTGAAGAGCTGAAAAAAATTGCTTACATGCTTAATAGTTCGGATCTGAGACTGTGATTGATGATAACATGAGACAATGTGAGGTCTTGTGTATACAGGCTAGGTTTAGTTTATAAACAAAGTCAAAATAAAAGCATTAAGTTAAAATGGCACTTGTTTCAAAGCTCCGGGAGTGTGGAATGCTTAACTGTCCGCGTTTTAGACGAACTTACCGGGTGTGAAAATACTATGGTACACTCCATCTACCCAGTCCGATATCTTCGAATGTATTTCGAATTATTCAAATTTCTACACAGTCGTTTTTTGTGAACGAACTGGGAACAATCTCCACAAAATTCTTAACAACACGATATGTAGCTCCCTCAATAGAAATACTCGTACAATAATTCATGTAACACTGGTTTACCGGTTCACCTAAATTATACTCACGATCCCAAAGGTTTAGAATGACCTGCCCGCAGGCTAGTTAATCTTCCATTTTATGGAAATCTTGTAGTTTGTGAAGTTTATACTTATTAAGTAAGTTTTGGAATGATGGTTAATGAAGTTTTCACAAAATTAATACGAGATACTCCATATTGAATGAGTTGTTCTCAAGATTATTCGCTCTCAGTAATTTTCACAGAAACAGTTTTTGACTTCTAGTACTCAACGAGGAGTAGACAACTTTGAATGATTGTGCACACTTCGATTTTTTAGATATAAACTTATTTAGATTTTTCACAACCTTGGATTGCATTTCGAATATTTTAATTACAAAAAAACATCATTGGGAAGGTACTTAGAAGAATGCAATTGGCCATTGAAGATAAAAATATCGCAGAGAGCTTCAAATTGAGTAAAGAAGATGATGCTCCCATTTTAGTCAAATTCAAAAGCAAAGAATTCAGAACTCAAATGATAGGAAGAATTATGATGATGAAAGTGTTGAATTCGAAGTCATGTGATTTGGAAGGAGAGGATAGAAACATTTACTTCAACTAAGACCTAAGAGATACTAACCAGAAAGTTTTTAAGAAGAATGAAGAGGGTTTTTTGCAGTTCAGAATGAATTATTAGGTATTCTTGATCAATACAAAACGGCATGCGAAGCAACAATATGTGAAAATGTATCTTATATGTATATTAATATTCGGTATGGTGCCCCCGTGACGCCACTGGATTTCACAATTCCTATTCAATTATGGCTAAATCAGCCCCTAATGACAAAGAATATCATTGCCATATTTCAGGAGAATCGGTGGAAGAATATTCGAGATATTCATAAAAAACTGATTTTTTCTAATAGGTTTAGCACACTGTATCTTGAAAACTATGCATTTCCGGATTCAAGTATATATGAAATAAATTTCATGCTTTCTCATGCAGCATCACCCCTTTGATTTTTTGCGCATAATTTCCGGACACCCTGTATAGGTCGCCTTCAACTAATGCTGATGAGTTTGTAGAGAATCTTGAAGTCATTATGAATAAGGTCGTTGAAGACCATGAGAGAGCATAATGTGTTCGTGAGTGATATCAATATTAATTTCTTAGAAAACTCTTCTACAGAAAACAACTACCAAACATTATTATATAGCTATGGTTTCTATAATTCAATTGATAAACCAACAAGAAGGCAAGGTGAATCGCAGTATTGCATAGACCATATATCATTTCTTTATTGAATATAGGAATGAATTGTGCACTAGTATTCATTCTGTGATATAAGATAGGGATTTCACAGATCCCTATTTCAATCTGCTTAATATAAGCCTAAATAAAAGCTCAGCACATGAAAATGTTAAAACGAAAAAATAATTATGAGAAAATGACTGAAGCCCATTGGGATGATGTTCTTGGGGAAGATGATGTAGAATTATGTACAAATCTGCACTAGCTTTACTCCTTTACTACAATTTGTAATAGGAAAAGGAGATTGAAACCTTGGATCACAAGTCGCCTCTTGTTATCAATTAGGAGTAGGGAGAACTGAAAAACATTTGCATCCTCAATCCAACTGGCGTTAAGGCTAAAAACAAATTTATAAACGCCAAAAAACTTTAAATAAACGGTGAGTCATAATTATTGGGACATTTGCTTGTTTGACTAAAATATGGCGACAGGACTAAATATGCCTTGATAAAATATTACTCTGGAAAAGATACAGGGCGTTAAAGTTGTTTTTTGTTCGTTTTTCGCTAATAATTTCACTGTATATTTATCAATTGTTATCGAAATCGGCACAGGAGCACATTTTTTTACAGGGAATAATATTGAATGTATCATTCTACATTGTGGGGCAGCCACTTTTTAGTGGTTTTGATTAAAAATATGACATGAACATTATTTTTTCGTAATATTGGTACACTTGTTTGAACATGATATTTTCATCCATTTTCGACAAAAAGGCAATTAAACAGATCAGAGTTTCCTAAACGGATTTCTAGTAACCGAAAATAAAAAGACTTGTAACGTATAAAGCTTCTCCTTCAACGATAAAGCACAATTATTGAAAACAACATAAAAAGGGCCAGCTCAAATTAAATGTTCTAATCGGTTCTAATGTAATTAAAAAAATATATTCCGTTCCCTAATCAAGTTAGCCGCATTTTGTACTTTTCTCCAGAGTTCGCCTCATGAGTAAATTTTATCGGCATAAACTAAGGACTTTATATGTCCCCAATATAAAAATCAAGCGGGTTATAGTCAGAACTTCTTGGTGGCCATTCAAAATCACTTCCTCTGCCTATCCATCGTTGAGGAAATATGCAATAAGCGATGATGAGTTCTCCTCAAGTAAAATTATCCGGAAGTAAAATACCTCTCCATTCGGATTTCCGGGCGAGAGGTGCTAGAGGGGGTTCACCATCGACTGAAAAAGTCCTCAAGATAGACCTATGTAACATCCGAGGTCTAAGTAAGAACATCAACGAAGTCCATCGACACCTTCAAATTGAAAAGCCAGACATATTGGCTCTTACTGAGACACAGGTCAATTCATCCACCAATACGACCTATCTGCTCTGTCCTGGGTACGAACTCCACACACGTTTCAGATTCAAGGGAGGTCTCTGCCTCTACTCAAAAACGAATCTCTCATGTCAACGAGAAAAAACTTTGGAACCAAATAAGTTTGATGTCATGTGGTTCAAGCTCGATAACGAGAAACAGACCAAATACCTTTGTTGTCTCTACTTATCACCAAATGATCCATCCTATGAAGAGCTCTTCGAATTCTTGTCTCTGAAGCTTGACCAAATTCAACAGAACCATCCAGCAGCAGAAATCATCATCATGGGCGATTTCAATGTACACAACACTGCTTGGCTCGTACACTCTAACAGAACGGATGGAGCTGGGCGACAAGCCGAAGCTTTCGCCATCACTCACGGCTTAGAGCAGCTTATCAAAGAACCCACACGAATTCCCGATGCCAATAACCATTCAGCTAACATACTTGACTTATTCCTCACTAATAATTCAGAACCCTACACCATAGATGTACGAGCTCCACTTGGCAATTCTGACCACACACTCATATCCACAACCTGCCCATTTTTCATTCCATCAACTGATCGGGCACCCCCACGTCGTATATGGCATTACAATTCAGGAGATTGGGACGGTCTCCGCATGTTTTTCTCCGAGTTTCCTTGGCATAGAGTATGCTTTGACTCTGAGGACCCTTCACAGTGTGCTGCGGAAATATCCGAGATCATCATGCTCGGAATGGACACATACATACCCCATTCTTCAAAAAGATCATCACCATCGAAACCCTGGTTCAACAAAAACTGTTCTAGAACTGTTGCCTTGAAACAAACAGCCTACCATCGCTGGCGCAAAAACCCTAACCTCGCGACTAGAGCAGAATACGTTGATGCCAGAAATAGCTGCAGCCAAACAATAGATGCTTCGAAAGAAACATGCAATGCCAAGATAAGATCGAAACTCATAGATTGTCCCAATGGCTCCCGTTCGTTTTGGTCCCTTGCTAAAGCGGTCGGAAGAAATTTCACTAATAGTTCATTTCCACCACTGTCCAAATCCGACGGCACATTAGCAACAACATCGCAGGAGAAAGCAAATATTTTTGCAGAGATTTTCGCAGCAAACTCTATTTTAGATTCCCAAGGAAAAGTGCCACCAGACATTCCACCCGTTGAGAGTCGAATGCCCGAAATCGTCTTCCGTCAACGCACTATCAGACGAATTTTACTTGGTCTCAAAACGAATAAGGCTAACGGTCCTGATGGAATTCCACCCATTATCCTCAAAAAATGTGCACCAGAATTAACACCGATTCTCTGCAAGTTGTTTACCGTCTCGTACAGGTCGGGTATTTTTCCATCATGCTGGAAGACAGCTAGAGTCCAACCAATCCCCAAAAAAGGGAACAAGAACCTGCCCAACAACTACAGGCCCATTGCTCTGTTATCAGTAATCTCCAAAGTTATGGAGAAAGCCATCAACATTGAGCTCATTAAATATCTGGAGAGCTCGGGAATCATCAATGATAGACAATACGGCTTTCGCCACCGAAGATCTACTGGAGATCTACTTGCCTACGTCACCCATTTATGGCAAGCTTCATTAGAAAAACACGGGGAATCTCTTGCTGTCGCTTTGGACATATCGAAAGCATTTGACCGTGTTTGGCACGAAGGACTCCTCCACAAATTACCATCATACGGCTTACCACCTCAGCTATGCCATCTCTTATCGAGTTTTCTTTCAGGCAGATCGCTTCATGTGGTGGTGGACGGTGTATCGTCTGATACAATTGGCATCAATTCCGGCGTTCCACAAGGATCAATTTTGGCACCAACATTATTCCTTCTTCATATCAATGATCTGTTGGGAGTAACAACTTGCCCCATCCACAGCTTTGCAGATGATAGTACCCTCCATACAGCGTTCTCTTCCAGAAATCCTATTTCTTCCCAGGAAACTAAGAACACACGGCGCAGGCAGGTCAATGCTGTCAATGAAGACCTTGCTGAAATCACAGCCTGGGGAACCAACAA